ACCAACCAACCAACCAACCGAAGTCAGCAGACCCCCTGTGCCAGCTCCACCACAGGGATGAATGCACAGAGACAGGACAGCGCATTTCCTGAAGGCTGTACTGCGGCTTACGGTGTTTCAGCAGACTGCACGACGCAGAGTACAAGTGCTCGTTCTGCATCAAAAACACCACGCACTCCAGAGACGGCTCCCACAAACTCTTCCACCCAATGCAGATGCTTTGTTAACTGGCAAAATGGATGAATGAAACAAGCTGTAACTGGTGGCATCCTCAGCTCGCTCGTCAGAGTAAGGACGCCAGAAATGTGTCTCAGCTGAACTCCCAGATTGGCTACAAAGTTACAGGACCCCCACCCCCCACGTATGAATAAGGCATGATGAATAGGGCAGGTGCCGTGGCTGGCACCTGGGGGTCGTTCCCAAGACTTGGTTCCTAAATGGCCTGTGAGAAACTGCAGGGCTGAAGGCTACCTGGTGGCCTGATGCTGGCCAGTTACCAGAAAGCACCGTCTGCCTCCAGTAAACCTGTCGGGTAAGGTACAGACAGTCCCAGGACAAGACCTGCCCCTTCAGCGTATGCGTCCGGTCCGTGGACAGCCTCCACCTGAGTGCCCACATTGCATCATCAACACCTGGGAGTCCGGAGACCCGCTTCCCGCCGGAGCTGGCCTTCCCCGCCTCTGCTAGGACCAGTCCTTACGAAGAAGGCCGTGACAGTGGGACACGGCCAAGCCGCTCAGACAAGGCGCGTGTCTGTGCTGACGTGTAATCCCAGCGGCCACAGCAAACAACGTCTCTGTGAGACTGACGGACGCGGCTGAGCGCATGGGTGTGGGAAGGATCTCCTGTTCTTGTCGATGGCCGTGGGGCACCAGTGGAAGCACTGCAGCCACCTGTTACTGAGAAATAAGTCAGGGCCAAGCTGTGTGCGAATATAGGGCAGAGAATCCACTTTATCTGCCTGGCAGCTACAACCAGCTTCAGGCAGTGGTCTGACGCGCTGAGGTCTACGCACCACGTGGGGTGGAAAGCCATTCCCACAAGTAAGTGACACCGAGGGGCTTCCTACATGTGCTGTCCTGCGGTGCGGAGACTAAAACAGGTGAGGAGAGCGCCAACCTCACACAGATTTGACGTGGATGTACTTCCTACACTCAAGCTACAGTCCCAGCAACAGTCCGTAGACCTTGACTACAGATCAAAGGGAATCTACTCAAAACGCGCTTGATGGCACGGCTGAGGCGCTTCCACTCATTTCCTAAGTGCTTCATCTGCGACGTCAGGACGTGCTAAAACGCACAGGTGAGGGAAAAATCGAACAGAATTACACAGATGTCTCCACGTCCTGGATGAAAACCATCAGCTCAGGGACTGGTATCAGTACTTGGCAGCGCCTGCCTGTGGGAACCGGCAATTTTCAAGGGTGGAATACGTAAAATCTTACATCAGCCTGAATAAACACTGGCCATCAATTTTGATAATGAGATCACCCCCTTTGAACCCTATCAAGTTATTCCTCCCCACAAAGTAGATTTCTATTCTCATTAGACTTGTATTATAAAAAAATTGTACTCAACTTTGAGTTCAGTCCTTAAAAAATTTTGTAAAAATGTCTATTTCTCATTATATAAGTACCTCTATAGCTTAATGTTGCCTCCTGGCCTACAAAGTCCAAAATGTTTAGTTTCTGATTGATTACAGAAGAATTTCATTATCTCCTGAAACATATTAAAAACTGAAGTAGATCTGTTGCTCTGTTGATAACAACATGG